ACTAGAAGGCTGGTGGTTCAAATCCACCAGCCACTCCTCAGAAGGAAGACTGGGCAATCTACTTCTTTAGAGATACTGCCTGGGAAACCCAAGGAGGGGTCGCTATGAGTAGGAGTCGTCTTGATGCCAGTGAGTTTGGTTTGGTTTGGTTACACCCTTATAATGAGGCATTGCAGAGTATAGGGCAGGAGCTCAACAGAAGAATTCTCACCTTCCATGTGGGAGATCCAGGTTTGATTCTGGCCAATACACCTCATGTACAGCCACTACCTGTTGGTCAGTAGAGGCTTGTGTACTGCTATAATGCTGAACAGGTTTCAGCAAGGAGCTTCCAGACTAAAGTGGAGGAGAAAGAAAAGTTTGGCATCTCTTTCTGAAAATCAGCCAGTGAAAACCCTGTGGATCAAAATAATCAGATCTCATTGTGTATGGAATCTCCAAGTGGGGAAACTGGAGGGCAGCTAACAAGAACAATACATACATATTTACTTCCCTCTGATTGTCTCTACATTCTAATACAAACTTTCCTAGACTTTGTCTTAGTGCTGTCACCTTAGCACAACCTCAGAGAGGCTCCATAAATGCTTGTTGTGAATCAATAAATATTTTATACTACCACACATGGGATAATTCATTTAAGGAGATGTTTGGGTGTGTGAAAATTGACAGTGGCAGACTCTTACAAAGAAAACCCTAGAACAAGGCAATGAATGGAAAGTGGGGTGAGCTGGTTGAAGCAGGTCCCACAAGCTGTTCCAATTTCTCAGGAGGCACTTTGAAAAAAAAAAAAAAATCTAAGCCAGCATCCTTCTACTTTTGGCTATTGTGGATTTAAAACTTCTCGTTTCTCTCTGCACTTTACCCTTAGCTGATTGTCTCGCCGCCTCCCGCCCTCGCGACAGGCGAGCAGATGCGGCTTCTAACTGGAAGACGCATTCGAACACCTGGTTATCTCCTAGTCTTCACGCAAAACATTCGGTCCTAGGCGACACGGGAGACTAATCGGGCACAATTCTCGTTGACCTGGTCCACAGTACTAGTAACCTAAAAGTAAAAAGCAGGGGAAAAAACCTCTGTAGGATAAACCTTCAACCGGACCACCAGCTAAGAAGCAGAGAACACACTACACAGGGTTGTTTCCTACCAGCCTCTGGGGTTGATGGGAAGCGAAGTCGGCGACAAATGCCCTGATCCAAAATGGCAGGTTACCAGGGCGTGTGCTTAAGGGTGAAGATAGTGCCGCTGGAAGAAGCCAAAATGAGTAGGGAGTAGGAAAGAAAAATTGTCTTGATTCAACATGAAGGCAGCAGTTATGGGAGCTGGAATAGCCAGGAACGACGGAAGCATCAGATATCCATATTCCAAACGTCAGGGATAGCGGCCCAGACAAGACTGGCAGAAGACGACACTGACCTAATCCAAGATGGCGCCGTAGGGCAAAAGAGTTGTTACCCTGATCCAAGATGGCAGCGATGTTTGAGAGCAGCTGAGGGGCGGGTAGCGCCAGTAGCGTCTTTGCCCTCAATCAAGATGGCGACTACTGTGGGCGCTGTCCCTAACTCCGCCCTGAGGCCCCGGCCCCGCCTCTCCCTCTTCCCTCCCTCCGCCCCCTCGCTCTGCCCTGTGGTCGGTGGTACTCGCGCAAGAACAGCGGGCTACGGGCGCTTGACATGGCGGCAGTGGCGGCGACTGCAGCAACGAAAGGGAATGGGGGTGGCGGTGGCCGTGCCGGGGCTGGCGAAGCCATTGGCACGCGGAAGAAGAAGGGTCCGGGGCCTCTGGCCACGGCGTACCTGGTCATCTACAATGTGGTCATGACGGCTGGGTGAGGCTGAGGCTCAGGGACCGAGGAGGCGGGGAGCTAGTCTGGCAGGGGAGAGGGTTCTGTGAGCGGCCCACGGAGCTAGCTATTCGGCCCTCTTAGTTCATTGCAGCCCCGGCGGTCGGAGTCTGCGACCCGGCACCTGGGCGGCGAGGGTGTTTGAGTGCTGAATCGGCCTTGGTCTCTGCCATGGTGCTCCGCCCGAAGCGGGCGGGGGTGGAGCCAAGTTCCGGGACACCGATTCTGCCCTGTGCTGGAGTTTGGTCGGGGGAGAGAGATGCGGGCTCCGAAAGGGCACTGGGAGGGCTGCCCAGGGGCTGGCTCGCGAGGGCCTTGGGAGAACGGGTGGGCTGACCACAAAGGGCCAGGTCTGATGGGCAGTGTGTGGTGTGATCTTGCAGCACTGAGAGAGCCCAGATGGCCAGTCACTGGTGAACTGCTTTCCTCTTGAAGAGTGGAGGAAGCTCTGGTTGCAGAGTGACCATTTATTTAGGCGGCTGCTTTCAAAATCCAGGCTGAAAAAGGTTCAAAATTGTTCAAAGTTTTTGACAAGTGACAAGAACAGAGCTGTGCTAAGATGAGTTTAGACTTTTTAGGATGGATTGGGGATGCAAGGCAGAGTTATTGGGAAGGGACGGATAGACCCTTGAAACAGGCTTTTTACCTCTTTTTCATTTCAGTCCATCCCTTAACTAGAACTAGTGCTAGTTCTAACACTAACTTGCTGCATACCTTGGATAAATCACTTTATTTTTCTAGGCCTCCGTTTTTCATCTGTGAAACTAAAGATTTGGACTAGGTAGTCTCTAAGGTTCCTCCAGCTTTGCAGTTCCTTGATCTTAGGGTTTTGCTGAGGAACATTACAGGGTTAGACTATTTGCTATGTATTTTTTAATTGCATTTATTTTAAAAAAATGTTTTTCTCTAATATTTTATTATGAAAACTTTCAAAGGTACACGAAAGTTTAAAGAACTGTATAGTGAACATCAAGTTTTATTTATTTTTAAAATACTAATTCAAAATATACACAAAGGCATACAGTGAAAATCTTCCCTCTCACTCATCCCTTCCACCCAGATCCCCTCCCTGGAGACAGCTAACTTTGTGTATCCTTCAGATACTGATTAGGAGCCGTGGTGGTGCAGTAGTTAAGTGCTTGACTAACTGAAAAGTCAACAGTTTGAACCCACCAGATGGTCTACCAGAAAAGTATACAGCCATCTGCTTCAGTGAAGATTAAAGCATTGGAAACCCTATGAAGGCATTTCTACTCTGTCCTGTAGAGTCACTATGTGTTGGAATTGACTATAGGTTTGCCAGTACTATTAGAAACAATAGTGTTGAAACCTAGACTCAGAGAAGTTGTGACTTACTTGACTTGTTTGAAGTCACAGAACTTGTTAGCAGACCTGGATCTAGAACCTGTTTCTCAGGACTCACAGACCAATGAGGAAATAATTACAGATACAAATTTTCTTTATCACATAACACTATGAGTCAGATCCGACTTGACGGCAGTGAGTTTGGCTTTTTAGTTTTTTTTAAAAACCAAACCCACTGTCGTCAAGTCGGATCTGACTTACAGCAACCCCTCCTTGGGTTTCTGAGATGGTATCATGGAAGTAGATTGCCCAACCTTCCTTCCAAGGAATGGCTGACTGATGTTTTAAAAGAATATTTAGAATCTCTGTGTGTATCTATATTCATGTGTAAAATTCTTATTGTCTTAGCCAAGGCATTGATGATAGAATTGGACTAGAGAGATTTTAAGGTACATTGAAGAAGAATGAAAGAAGTCTTCATTTCTGAGCAATGAACAAAAAGAATGGGGTGGTTGGTCAGGAGTGGTGTCTTAAAGTAGGAAGAGAAATGAGGAATATGAGAGTGAAGTCACTTTTTTCTATGCTGTGAATGAAGTTTCTGGAGTCCCTAGGTTGTACAGATGGCTAATATGCTGGGCTGTTGACCAAAAGTTGGAGGTTCAAGTCCAACCAGGCATCTTGGAAGAAAGGCCTGGCATTCTACTTCCAAAAAATCAGCAATTGAAATCCCTGTGGAGTGGTTTTACTTTTGCACTCATGGAGTTGTCATGAGTCAGAGTCTACTCGACAACTACTTGATTTTAATGGAACTTCTCATTCTCTTAAGAAATCCATTTCTTTTACAGATTCTTTTTTGAGGTTCATATATGATCTTTATTAGAAATAACAGACTACATACCTCATTCTCTCATTGAAATAATACACTTAAGTAAATCTCTTATTTCCTTCAGAGAGTTGTTATGTGCCGTCAAGTCAAACCCGACTCTCCTTGGGTTTCCGAGGCAGTATCACTACGGAAGTAGGATTGCCCAACCTTCCTTCCGAGGAGTGGCTGGTGGGTTTGAACCGTCAGCCTACTGGTTAGCAGTCAATTACCTTAGGCACTCTGCCACCAGAGCTCCTCCCCCAAAAAAGATAGGGCCTAAGAAAAGGACAGTAGAACAGAAATGTAACATTCACAGCCATATGCCTAAGTGCTTTTTTTTGTGTTTTGTATCGCTCTGGCTTTCTTTTCTGAGTTTGGGGAATTCAGCTAAAAAAACCTTTTCTTATTTCTTACTCTTTTTTTTTTTTTTTAAATTGTGATTTGGGTGAAAGTTTACAGAGCAAATATTCACTTTCCATACAGCAGTTCACATACACTTTGTCTCATGACATTGACTACAATTTACCCCAATGCAACAGCTCCCCTCCCACTTCCTCCCGATAGATAGTTACCTCTTCCTGTGTCCTTCCCTGCGTGCACTCCTGCCCCCTGAGCTGTCTCCCTGTTCATAAACAGTCCTTATTTCTCCCATGATTGATCTCTCCAAGGAGTGTATCTACCTCAGGTAAATGTTCAACTCATATGCCTGTCTTTTGTTTGGCTGGAAGCCACAGGTGTGGGTTCAGTTTCAGACCTGAAGGGCAACTAGGGGCCATAGTCTCAGTGGTTCCATCAGGCTCTATCAGACCAACAAACCTGGTCACCTTTTTAAAAAACCTTTTCTTATTTCATTTGCAAATTTAAAAGGATAAATTTTAAGGCATGGCTTTGTTCCAGTGAGATGCTTAAATGTGAAATACTTTAAAACATTTTTTCTCCACCTCGTTATCATTAAAGACCCTTTAACCACAGAGGCCATTAAAAAATTTCCTTGAACAATTTTTTTTTTTTTTCCTTTCTCTTGTCTTAGACTTTCTGGCATTTGTCAAGGACCATTTCAGCTTATTCAGTTCACTTTGGCCTAGTTCTGAACAGGCAAGGTTGCCAAAAAGCTGAGCTCCAGCTGGGTGAGGTGCCCACTGTGTGCTTGTAGCACACCTTGGTTTGGTGCTGGTGCTGGTGCAATTTTTCTATGCATAACAGCCTAGGTCTTGAGAGCTAGTCAATAACTCTAGGTGACCAGTTCTTGAAGTCATCTGTAACAATATGATTTGCCACATCTTTCTATTACCTTAAAACCTACCTACCTTTTTTATTTTTCTTTTTCTCTGATTGTTCTTTCTCTCTCTTTCTTAGGTGGCTCGTTATAGCAGTTGGTCTGGTCAGAGCATACCTGGCTAAGGGTAGCTATCATAGCCTTTATTATTCAATTGAAAAGCCTTTGAAATTCTTCCAAACTGGAGCCTTATTGGAGGTAGGTCCTGAGATTTGTTGTTACTAATTCCTATTGTTATAAAGTTGAAAATCTGCTACTAAACTTTATTGAAGCGGCCATATTTCTGTTGGATTTGCTTTATTGAAATGTTAGTACCATACTAAAATACTAGACTGTCTTTTCAACCTTCTAGACAAGGTAAGATCCCATTTAAACTGTATTACCTGGAATATATTTTACGTTGAACTTTTGGGAAACAAGTTTATGTTAGGATTGTTGGGACATCCTGTTGTTGTTGTTATTTGCCATCGAGTCAGCCCTGACTCATAGCGACCCCTCCTTGGGTTTCCGAGGCAGTATCACTACAGAAGTAGGATTGCCCAACCTTCCTTCTGAGGAGTGGCTGGGGGGACATCCTAAGGAAGCATTAATAAACTCAACATCCCTCAGAGGCCTGACACATAATGCAAACAGTGAAGTTGATGGTGTAGGGTATCGGGAATGATATAAGAAAGGGTACAGCCTGCTCAAAGGCATTCAAATTTTAAAAATCTATTTTTAACAAAAGTATTAATTTCCCTGTATTAAGGGTAATGCATATCCACTCCTATCTCCTAGGGTAAGTATATGTAGGATTTTTGAATTGTAGCTATGAGTCGGAATTGAATCGATGGGAGTGGTTTGGGGTTAAGTGGCAGAAACCCAGTTCAAACTATTCTTAGCCAAAAAGGAATTTGCTGGCTTCTGTAGTTGATAAAGTTACAGGGGTAATTTATAGAATGAAAGGAACCAGCTCAAGGACAAAAACCAAAGATTTGACATTGCTCTTTTTCCATATCTCTGCTTATCTTTTTCTGTGTGAGTGTTGGCCTTAGACTCTTCTACTGTAGACACCTTTCTCCATGTGGTAGAAATGGGGAGGGTGCTTATTGTTCTCAGCATCTGTGTGGCAGTTCTAGGAAAGGTTTCTAGTTGGTCTTATTTCTTGCAAGTAATGTGTGTTACTTGATTGGCTAGGTCTTGGACACCTGCTCATCCTTCTGGCCAAGAAACTATAGGCTTTGTTAATAGAGAAGAGGGAGTTGGGGATATTTTGGGCACACAGGAGTCCCTGGAGGGTGCATATAGTTAACATACTTGACTGCAAACCAAAAGGTTGGAGGTTTGAGTCCACCCAGAGGCACTTTGGGAGAAAGGTCTACTTTCTGAAAAATCAGCCATTACAAACGATGTGGAGCACATTTCTTCTCAGACATACACAGGGTCGCCATGAGTTAGAATCAAGTGGATGGCAATAAGTGTTGGGCACACAAGGTCAGTAGTTCATTAGGGTGAAAACCCTGCAGGTTGCAGGGGAGATCTGCTATTGAATTCATTTCATTTAGTCTCCAGGGCAAGTCTAACATGACATTCATACCTCAGTGGCAATTTTTAAAACCTAAACTGTGGAATGATATTTAAGAAAAAATAATTTGAGGAGAACTTCCCTGAAATGATGAAAGATGAGAATATCTCCATCCAGGAAGTCCAACGAACCCCAAACAGGATAGACCCCAAAAGAAAATCACCAAGACACATCATCATCAAACTCATCAAAACCAAA